ATACGTACATACATACATACATACATACATACATACATACATACATACATACATACATACATACGAGAGTGTGTGTCTTTACTCTTTTGAGAACAGGCATCAGAATTTCATTTTTTTAAATGTGTGCCATTGTGTTCACAGAAAAAAAGTGACAATAAAGGTTATCTCATCTCATTACACCTCATCTTAATGGCAGTGTAAAATAAATCAATATAAAACCAACATAGAAACAGAATAATTAGTATAATTATTAAGATAATAATTAAAATAAAACATGTAATAAAATGACAATAATTAAGCAATAAAAGGGTCTTTGGACATTAGCAATACTTGCTGCTCTTGTGATTCCTGATGACATTCTTTCTGTTTAGAAAGTCAGCTGACATTTATTTCACTCAGTGCAGGGCACTGAATAGAAAATGAATTCTATGTGCTATCCTCTCCCCATAGGCTGCTGTAGAAGAAAAGAGAATAATTGTTGCAATGGGAGTGAATCCAAAATCTATGCCATGCTGAAAATTTGCCAAAAAGCTAATGGAAACAGTTGGTCTAGTTAGATGTCTAGGGTTTTCCATTCAACTTTACAAGTTCTCATATTCAATAACTTTCTATCTCAAGGCTCAGTTAGTTGTCTTTCTAAACAGTTGTATATATATATTTGTGGGCTTGTGTTACTATTTACTAAATATGTTATGACAAAGTATTTATGCTAGTCCAGAGACCAGAGACCAGCAGCAGAATTCACTTACCTTTCCTACCAGTTCGCAAATGTGAGTGCATGCGCCATGTCTGCACATGCACACCGCCTTCTGCACATGCATAGTGCTCATGCATGATGTTGGGATGGGTGGGCAGAGTCTCCTGCAGTCACCACTGGTTCACCCGAACCAGAGAGAACTGGCTGAATACCACCTCTGCCAGAGACCTTTGGAGACCTGTGGTTCATGGGCTGTAAGCATCTGTCTGATGGGTGGTATTCCATATCCATGCAAGCTGCCAAGAACAGAAAGATTATTTGTGTGAATCTTTTCACATGAGCAAAGCATGTTAGGTAATGCTACAAGTTTTATCTAGGCCACTAAATTCACTTTGTGGAGATTTCCCACTATTCTATTCTTAAAAAAGGGAATGGGGACAGGGTCCAGGTTGAGCTCTTGCAAATCAAAACAGATGTAACTATGGACTTCACATTTTGCAAAACAGGAGAAATCCAAAAACAATATATAGATATAGTGTACTTCTAATTGTACTTATTTTGGACATTCTAGATTTGGTGATTTGACATTTAGAAATTATGTGTTTTTGGATTTCTTCTGTTTTGCAAAATGTGAAGTCCATAGTTACATATATATTTATGTTTAACAAATTCTTGGGACGGGATTTTGGGAGTCCTGTGGATAAATAGAGCTATACATGGTTAATTTAATTGCATGATGCATTCATTAGGGGTATCCTCAGACAGCTGGAAAACAGCACTGAGTTGTGAGCAAAACACATGCGTAGAAGGGAGGCTAAATCAAAGTCAATCAAGAGTCTGTGCAGACAAGATGTGCCTGAGCAAGAACCAACTATACTATTTTTACCTCATGTTTTTTTCTATGGAGCTCATCAGGTCACTGCCCTTTTGAACTAAACTGACAATGAAAAGTTGGCTTCATTAAGACTGTGTTTGTTCGTTATAAAATAGGTAAAACCAGCTATGCTCCCCTGATTTTGAACAAGGGCTGGGAATGCTTATGAAGTCCTACTCTGTTCTTCCTCTTTGCATGTGTGGGACTACATTCCACAGAATTCCTAGTCAGCATAATCGGTGATTGGGACTTCTGGAACTTGCAATCTTAACACACATGAGGCACCAGGTTGGGGCTGATTTAAGAATAACAAGAGCTGAGGTCTTTGCTCATTGATGTGGATGATATTCATTCAGTCCGTCCACCAAGACCTCAGTGAAATCAAATACTTACTTTTCACAGGAAAGAGAAGTGGGGTAGAAGTAGAGGCACAGAGAGTTTCTTGGCAAAACTTGCTCACAATTTTTTTTCTATCAAAGTGTATATAACAAAATATTCTTTTTGGCAAATGTTTGGTGCAAGATTAAAAGCACATACAGAGGCAGTACATTAAAAAGGGAGAAGAATATTGGAAACATTTTTTAAGACACCGTCAAAGCCCAATTTGCCAGAAACAATGCATTTTAAATGTGGATTTTCTTTGCTTTTTTCTAGATTATAAAAGAGTGCCTGAAGCTACAATAATCAATGAAAATTACAGATGCTGGCCATCCTACCATCATAAAGGGTGTCTCCTTTCTGTATTTGATGTAAATGAGGCTATAGAGGTATGCGAGAGTCATTCGCAATGCACAGCTTTCGTTTTCATCAACCAAACAACTTGGACAGGTAATAGTTGCCAATTTAAAAAGTTTTATAATCCTAAATTAGCAAAATGAGAATGTTTTTTTTAAAAAAAAGAAGATTGGCACATTCAGGCATACACACAAGAAAATAATTAATTGTTCATGATATCACAATGATCTTTGTGATTATTGTACCTAGTTTTTAATATTCCTTGGAGACATTTGTTTATCAAGTAAATAGTAATTCCAAAATAGTTCACCAACTAGGTAAATTCTAAAAAGGGATTCCTTGTGTCTAAAGCACATAGTATTGTCTGAATTAGGATCTACCACATTTCTGTGAAAATAAGACAGGTCTTATTTTCTTTTGATCCTTGAAATAAGCACTTGGCCTTATTTTCAGGGTGGTCTTATTATTTTTGAGGTGCAGGGGACAGTGAGCGTGGTCACCTTATGGCACCTATGTTGCAATATTTTTGGGGAGAGCTTATTTTCAGGGGAAGGCTTATTTTAGTGCATGTGCTCAAAAGTCTGATTGGGCTTATTATTCGGGGAGGTCTTATTTTCAGAGAAGCAGGGTATGAATGGAAAATTGTGCTTTCAATCACATTTTAGTTTGCAAAAGGAATCATTAACAGTATAATTCAAATTTATGAGGTGAATTACTCTTGTTCTTGAGTTACGCCTATAATTCTCAGAATCCCAGCTAGGATGGCCAATAGTTATAGTGCCTGCAATTCTGGGAAATATATTTTCAAAGCATCTAGAAGAATCCATGTTGAAACAGGATGCCCGAAGCTTTCAGGGCAACAGTATACAATAATAAGAGCAATAAAATTAATATCCAATATGAAATATAAATAGCAGAAAAAATTGAAACATTTTAAAATGGAGAAATAGTGTGTATGTATGTATGTATGTATGTATGTATGTATGTATACACACACGCACACATACACACAGAGAAAAGATTAGCTGAAAACATAACTATGGAAGATATAAAAATATAAAATATAAAAGCCAGTAAAACATTACTTGAGGGAAAAACAGAAGGAAAAAAAAGGATTTGCCTGGGATTCAAAACCATGAAAGATGGTTCAAAAATATTTTTATGGAGGGCATTTCATGGATAGGGACTGCTAATGAGGAGAATTATCTGCCAAATCATAATGCAGGATAATTCAGAGAAATCTCAGGAGATCATTCAGCAGGTGGCTTTAATATATATATATTTTAAAAATCTGTCTTGGGAGTATCCAGAGGACAAGTTCTTGATGATGATAGCACTTGAGAGAAGGGATTTAGAGAAGCCACTCTCCTTTGTGTTAAGACTAAGTTGGGGTCCATCGGCTACAATAGTGATCCTGGAAAATACATTCCAACGCCTTTTCTTTATCAGTCTTGATGAGTTCCAAAGAGATTAGCGTGTGTGTGCTGGATGACTGTTTCCAGCTGGATGCAATGTAAGCAGGATCTTCCTTTGACAAGTAGAGCATTCTGTTCTCATATCTCAGCACCCACAGTTCCTAACAAATGCCACCTCACTCAAAGGGCAGCCTCAGATGAACTCTGGGAACTTGACACAGGTCACGTCTGCTGCTATCAGTCTTGGCTATTGAATTATATTATGAATGGTTTAATAATAACTTTGAAATATGTTTCTGGCCTATGAAACAATTTATAAGAAATTAACCCAACAGAACATTTAATAATAATTAAATTATGTGAATGCAGACTCAAAAGTCATGCAAAATAATCTGGTGCATTTTAGATAGCATATTATCCCCATTTGACTCAGGGTTGACTCAGCCTTCCATCCTTCCGAGGTGGGTAAAATGAGGACCCAGATTGTTGGGGGCAATATGCTGACTCTCTGTAAACCGCTTAGAGAGGGCTGAAAGCCCTATGAAGCGGTATATAAGTCTACTACTATTGAACCTGAAAATTAGACTTTGTATTTTACTATTATTTTTGGATGAACCCTCTTTGATTAGAACATTGTATGTCAATTTGTTTGGAGGGGTAATACTTGAAAGATAAGGTGAAAAGAATGGACACACACTTGTTAATTTCCCAATCTCTCCCCTATATATAGCTAAATAGATAGGTATGAACATAGCAAATTGTCCTCCCATGATTGGTCATAGCCAGAGGTGGTATTCAGCTGGTTCTCTCGTGTTCGGGCGAACCGGTAGTAGTGGCTGCAGGAGGCTCTGCCCACCTGCCCCGATGTAGTGCACTGTGCATGCACAGAAGGCAGTGTTCACATTTGTGAACTGGTAGGAAAGCTAAGTGAATCCCACTGCTGGTCATATCACTAACTTTTGGGGTTGCACCAGGAATGTTGACAGTATTGCTATAATCAGAACATATGCCATGCTCCTCCACTTATTACCATGTAATGGATTATTTCAACCAAGAACTCTTCAGTATATATGACAACATTGCTTATTTAGTAATATTATGCTTTTGTTGGACTAGTTCAAAATAATCAGGATTTTAGTGGTATTTGTATATCAGGAATCCTGGAATGTGTAGTTCGCAGAGGTGTCAAACTCATCATGTCACATTGCCATCGCATGATATTTTGCAACATTTTTCCCATTTGCAGAGCTGGGGTGGGCATGGCCTGTGTGTGATGCATCTAACCCATGGCCAACCAGCTTGACACCCTTGTTATAGAGCAATCATGTGAATATGTATCATTTATTTATTTTTATTGAATCCAAAGGCATCTGCAATAAACATGTCTCACACTTCTCTTATAGATGAGCTATGGCTAGTCTTCATAGGAAGGCTATTGCTTTCTTAGAAGTAACCACTGAGAACTCTTGATGTACAGTTATGGTCCTAACTTGATATGTACCTTGCAAAAGAAGAGGTTGTAGTTGGATAACTTTAGAGTTGGTTTTAGAAAAAAAAATCTTTATACTTCAATAATAATAAAAATGATGATGATGATGATGATGATGATGATGATGATGATGATGATGATGATGATACAGTGATACCCATTGTCATCAGGGCACTTGACACCATGTCCAAGAATTTTATAAGATACATCAACAAATTGCAGCTTCTTGCAATAACATCAGTGGAATTGCAAAAAAACTGCTACTCGGAACATCATATATTTTAATAAGGTACTTGGTTGATACCTAGAATGCTGGCAGCAATCTGTATCAGCCATTAACACCAGTCAATGGTATTTGTGATACATTTTTGAATGTTCAGTTGACTTTCATGTTTAATGAATTAATAATAATAATAATAATAATAATAATAATAATAATAATAATAATAATAATAATAATAATAATACATTATTTGTTATCTGACAAGGTCGTCAACTTGTCTACTTCAAGATGGGATCCACTTCTATTGTGCCTGACCATGACAAGATAACATATGTGAAAGTGACTGGATGAAGCTTATGCGTCCTATAAGCTCAATTCTGGGCAGATTTACTCAGACTACATCTATGTGCCTTACTCCATAGTAAGTGCACCCAGGTTTGTTACCCTGGTTCAATTGGTCAATATGACAGCTATTGGGTTGGGTTTTTTTTTTTTTTTTAATGAAAATGGCTTTTGTGTGAAAAGAAGCTGAGAATGGGGAGGAAACTGCACTCAAGCTCAAAACAAGTCTAAGAAGAGACCTTTATTACCTGAAGGAATGTGCAATACAATGACATTTTAAAAATGTGACTCTATATGAAGAAGCAGAATGAAATCCAAAATGTGACACACTGCATGGCTAGCCTTACAGTGTTAGAAAGCAGCAGCTTGCTTTTCTGACTAGAATTGTAAACCCTCTGTACAATTTTGATGAGGGTTGGCTGAAAATTCTTCCTTTTCATAAGAAGCTCAGGATTACTTATTCCAATATTTTTGTGAGTAAGTATAATTAATGCAGCACTGTTAAATCTCTTGAAGATCAAACTTTCTGGAAGACAATCAGGACTTCTGTGATTGTATGAAAAATAAGTGTGAACATCAGGGTGGTCCTTGAGTAAGGGATTTATTTGCTATCAGAATTGCCATCAATTTTTTACAATCTAGTAATTCTGTCAGTTTCATTAAACCAGCAAAATTTGTCTGTGAAAAAAATATGCTCAATTGCACAGTTTGCAGTAGATATTATCTTAAAAGAAACATTGCTTCACTTTAATAGAGGGAGAAATCAGAGGTGCGGTTCAGTCCTTTTAGCCTTCAAATATTATGACTGTATTCTCTCTTGAGGGTATCAAATATTACTTTAGCATATCACATGCTAATTCTGCAGCTCGGGGACTCAATTTGCTGAATGGCGTTCTGAATTTTATTTTTTACCCAGTGTCCCCTGGTAGCACCACTGGAAATAATGCCACTTTTAAAATTGCACATGTCATCTGCAGTTTTAATCTGATTGTGTAAAAGTATGCACTGTGTATCTGCTGCTCAGTTACTTTAAAAAAAGATTAATATGCTTTCAATCAGTCTAACTGGTTAATTGACTGAATTTTGCAATTATAGTACCTATACAAATACCCTAGCCTATGCCTAGTTCAACAATAAGCTAGAAGTTGTCCCTTAGTGTGATGATATTGAAGTATGAGAAAACTATACACTGTAAGCCTATGAGTGTTAGTAAATGGGTAGGGTAATTGCTGTCTCCAGATCACACTCTAAACTGAACCCATTTACTTTTCCCATATGGGTGAATGTATCTCACACAGCTTCAGAAATTAAAAGTTCATTATATATATGGGCTAACCATAATCTCCTTAATAGGAGAAAGAGAATGAGGTATTATCATGTTACAGAAGCTTCTGAAAATTGTAGTCTGCTTATTTTATCCCAATGGACTTCATAGAAACCTCCAGCAATTAAGCCTATAAAGATCTATATAACTTCTCTTCATTTTTGTTTAAATTGATCCAAGGTTATAGGAATGAATTGTTCAAATTATGTCTATCTAAATGCTACTGCAAAATTTTGTTTCTATATATTCCGGTGTCCTATTTTATCTAAAATAGGGCACAGGAATAGACAAAAACAAAATTTTGAACTGGCATTTAGATATGCATCATGACTTGATCAATGCATCCCTATAGTCTTGTATCAATATTTAGAGTTGATTATTATTAATTTGACACAAACTCAAAAGTTTTGAAATCTGACATTAAAATGCACACTTGATGTGCTGCACACATGAGGTGTTTAATGAACTGAAAAGTCTGGATTCTCATATTGATGCAATGGACTATCCAAATTTCTGTCCAAGGGACACTACTGATGAATGATGTTCTCAGTTGCATTTGGTTCTAAAAATTCATGGCATTGTTCCCAGAGGAGGCAATATAAACAAGGACATAACATCCTGAAACTAGATGTTCAAAATACTAGTGAAAAAACTTTATTTGGGGCTAGTCACTTTTGTTTATCCAAAAGCAGAGAGAAATGTATCCCCTGCCACATCAAAATGGCAGCTACCACTAATGAGAGATGCATTTTTTCCAGAGTATTAACAGCAAAAGATACATTTCTGCTGGTGATTGTTTTGAATTCTTAAGCTGTTGCTTACTAGCTTTAAAAATAAAATGTTTTTAACAACAGCAAATGAATCCAAGCCTTAATAATGGAAAATTTGTAACAGGCGAAATATATGGATGTAGATTATGCTTTCAATGAAAGCAAGCAAGGAAATGTTAAACGTGACAAATGTCATACTGTTACCTAGTTTGTACATCCAGGAAACTTTCTACTTTTGTTCTTAAATTGTTTATTTTTATATGAAAATAAAATGAAATGGATGAACTTCCTTCTGCTTTGGCTGTAACTTATTTATTTACTGATTAAATTTATATGCAACCCAACTCACTATTGAGTGACTCTGAGTGGCTTTTTGGGTCAATCCTGTGCTATCATAAAGGGAAGTTTCTAGAGATGTTGTTGTCAAACCGAACAGGAGGCAGAACCTTGCGGCCTTCTATATGAGAGGCATTTGTTCAAGCTGTGGATTGTTTTAAAAGATAAAATGAATGTACAAAAGCCTGAAATGAGTGTCAAATGACAGGAACTTTACCTGAATAAAATCTAGACATTTCTAGACATCAGGCCTTAGAAATTGGACTGTTTTGAGATTTTTTTAAAAAAACTTTCCCCGGTTTGTATATCTGCCTCTCTCTCTGATTGTATTTACTCACATTGCTCATCTCTGTGATCAAGCATGTTGTGACACAGCAGCTAGAGAGACAGCGACTCAAATATTCCTTTACTCACAAAATTCTAATAGATACTACAGGAATCAAACCTATAGGATTATTGTGAGGACAGGGTTGGAGGAAATTCAGTTAGGTAGTTTAAATTCTTGTTTAGAAAGTTATTCCAATATATTTTTAAAAATATATGTACAGAACCCTATACATTTCTTTTCTTCTGGTCTCTCTATGTATTGTTTCTTTCTGAAAAGATGCAGTAGTCTTATATCCAAATAGATTGGATTTGATCACATAGATTGTGGTCCATTACAGTTTGACATAAGTTTATGGTGCCTCATGAAATGGGACAACTTGCCCCAGACAATTCACCACAGCCATCTTGCCGTGGCCATCTTATTGTGGCCAATTTGCCATGGCTATCTCTCTGCAATCAACTCGCCATGGCCATCTTGCCATGCCAATCCAGTTTAGCCATCTCACTGGGGCCATCTTGCTGCAACCAACTCACCATGAAACAACTAGCCATAGCCAACTCAGTGTGGGACAATTCCATGTGGGATAACTCAATGTGACAAATATTATGTGCTATTGTTTCTTTGACATTATTTCCATTCACAAAAATGGAAATCAAGTAGAAGAAACAGTGGTGGATAACATTTATCACATTCAGTTATCCCACAAGGATTGTTCCATGGCAAGTTGTTCCCACAGTGAATTATTTGATTTTTAGTATAAAGCCTTCATAAGGTCACACTTTTAAAAAATAATTATAGTTCCTTATAGAATATGAATAGAAACCTATAGAATAGACTGCACAATAAAAGCAATAATAATATAATAACTTCGTTAAGGCCAGTTTTCAGCCCAAAAGAATAAGTGTTCCTTTGCATAACAACTCTTGTGCTGACATTCGCGGGTTAGAGATTTTTCTGCGCCACTGCTACCTCCTGACCTCGGTGAGGGTTTACACACCACCATTGCCAATGCCGCCAATGCCACACCCACTTCCCCTTGCTTACACGCCGCCAACACCGATGCTGCTGCTAACACCACTGGGGCCACTACCAAAGCCCTTCCATTCATCTCTCTGTTGTCGGCGGAACCTGTTAGAACCTTTTGGACAGCAGCTGCACTTCAGAGCCTACTCTGAACTCACCCAACTCTTCTACTTGGTTATAGCTGCCTACTCTGAAGTAACTCTCTACTTGGATGCAGCCGATAAGGAAGAAGGCAATGATGACACTGAGTGGGGGTGTGGCTGAAGGTGGCTGAGGGTCATGGTGATTTGTGCTGGTGATTAGGGGCATCATTTGGGTAATTGGGTGGATTTGTGGGTGGAATTGGGCAGGGTAATGGTATATCTAAGTGATGGGATTAACTTTGTTAGAACTGACTTGGATTTGCTTAACATTGTATCATAGTCATTTAGTGCTGGTTATCACATAGTTTCTTAGATAGAGATAAAGTTATTCACGAAACAAATGGACTCTCTGTTTATTTTTAACGTGAACGCCGGAACATGACATTGCAACTGAAAATAGCAGAAGAAGGAAAGGTACACAATAATTTCTGTAGAAGGGTTAGGTTTTGCATTCGTAGGATTTCTTGTGAGACACACAGAACCTTTTCATGTGCTGAAAATTTCAATGGGTTTTTAATTTCCTTTACTTCTTCTAACAACTTTGTACATTTCTAAGGTAGAAAAATGAAAGAAGCTACCAACTGTGCTCTAAACAATGTTTCTGAGAATAAAAAGAAAGAAAATTCTTCAGATCTGAAGAGACATATACTATTTACAGAGCACAAAAGGAACTGTCAATTTCTGAAATGAACAATCTGCCAGACAAATTTAGCAAATGGGACTGGAGAGCTGAAATTTTGATTGCAATATAGACCATATTGGTCTTCAAAATGTTGGATCTTTTCAATTTTTTAAAATATTGAACTGCAAAAGGTGGATATTCAGTTGTTTTGGGGATGGAGCAGAGAAGAGAAAGAAATTAGTAAGTAGGAAGAAAACTTGTTTAAAGATGTTGGCCTTAAAAATGTTCATGGTAAGCTTTATATGCATGACACAATATATGTACTGTTACTGGTAATAGCAGCAATTTTTTTTAAAAAAAATTAATTTTCCATTTGTGTTCCGATGTCATATCATGAGACTGGAAGAAATATAGAAGTTGTTGTACACTATGTACCATAAAATAAATATTTGTGACTAACATCTATTTAATCAAGTACCCTTCCTATTTTCCAAATAGATATATGGGTACCGTAAGTATATTGAGGACAAAAAATGGAAATGGCAGTGAAAAATAAGAGGCACAAGTGTAAAAGTGTTATATATGCAAAGCAACAATTTCTGACATAAGATGTTGCATAAACTGTTGGATACAACTTGACGATCCAAGGATTGTTGTATTAATATACATACAAAACAATAGAATACATACATACATACACAAATGCCCACACAGAGATATGTACATAATCATGGGCATAGGATTAGTTCATTTACTTTTCTTTTATTTTCGTACTTTTAATAAAACTTAAATAAATAAGGTAGTAGTATTTTGAGACAAACAAACATGTACCTTCAGAAAATGGAGGTGGGCATGGTCAGTGCATGATCCATCCAGCCTGTGGGCTGTGAGTTTGACACCCCTGTTATAGTACAAGGATATAGAAGAATAAATAAATTGCCTTGACAACAGAAAACTGCTAATGGAAGAGTAGTTTTGGTGGAAGTAAGAAGTTAAATTGTGTGTGATTCATAATCTGTGAAATGAGGTGGGTTTTTTCCCTCTCTTTCTCCAACATCTTTCAGGAGCTAAAGTGGAGACCCATCAGTTACAGTGGCACTCAGAGGAAGCTGAAAGTTCTTATCTAAAGTGAATCTATTGGCTGTCCTATAAAATATGAGCAGCTCATTGATGGGACAAAAGGAAGGACCTTGGCAATCTGAGGATTTTTTAGAGCATTCTTTAGAATTCAGACAACTTTGAGAATGCTTACAGTAGTAAATGAGTAAAAGATGGGAAGGAAGAGAAGGATGTCTCTTGGCCAGATAGAAGCAGATGTGTACTAGTGAGGATTTCTTTTCATCTATGATTTTGTGGGAATCAAAAATAATTTCTGACTGACATTTAGAAGTGTCTATGTTTATGATGAAATTAGTTCTGATGAAGACTAGGTCTTCCAAATAATGTTTCAAATGGAATAAATGTTAGATTTCTTATGTTGGTAATGCAAGATTTTTGAAGGTGTATTACTATATGATTTAGTGACAGCTTTGTTTTTGTTGTAAATGTGGATTTAAGTTTGGACAGAATTTAATTTTGAAAAGAAATATTATAATTAAGGATGTCTGGGTAATGTTGAACTATATTCCTCAAACATGGAATTTGTGTTTTAATGAAAAGTATTGGCTCTCTCAAGGCCAATATATAGCTAAGGGACTATGCAATTAGAAAGAAAGTCACTCTCCTGATTTGAAGGAATGGATCCTAGATATGAGTTTGTAATCTGTCTTTTAAAAATCTCGGTTCTAAACATGAGAAAATGAAATGGCACATTACTATATAGCCCTAGACCTAATGATAAAAAAATAATTGTATGTAGATTGTTGTATTTATCATATAGGTCTCTCTCTTAATTAATCTTGTATTTAATTCATGTTAGTCATTCTAACACATCTGGGGTTTTTCCACTGTAATTATTTAATAAAGATTACTTGTTTTGTATATTTCACCATTTTAAAAAAAACATTGAGGATAAAAATGGTCTCCAACCTAGGAAAAAAAGAAGTAGGGGAATTGCATGAGATGTTAGGTTCTGGAAGGCATCTGATTGCCAATCAATCAGAATAGAGCTGGAAGGGACCATTTTAAACAAGTAGCTGTCCAGTCTCTTCTTAATCTCCAGTGACAAAGCAACCACAACTTCTGAAGGCAAGCTCTTCCATTGGTTAACTGTCCTCACTGTTAGGATTACACAGAATCATACATCAGTTAGCCCTTATGCTGTCTTCCTCAGTCTAAAAAGTATTTAGCAAACAAGCAGGGGTAGTAGTTTTTTCATTATGATACCCATACTAGAAGGTTTCTTTCTTTTTTTCTTCCTTTCCATATCATCATCCAAGATTTGAGGTGTATCCAAGTATTCAACTAGGCCATAAATATAAGAGGAAGACATCTACAACTTGATGGGGGAATACTTGAGGGATAATTACTTTTAGCACCAAGTGGGATGAATAGACAAAAAGTCAATTATGAAATGGAAAACTAAACTGGAGAAATTTGACAGAATTTGGTCATGGCAACTTGGACACTCATGGCTGAAGCCCATGAACTATATAGATTGTCCTCCATTGTCTAAAAGCTTATGATGCAGCCATTATGCTTGAAGCTAAACAAGTGTGTAGCTGGTCAGTGACAGATGGAAGATGGTGATGATAGAATATTTATGATACATGTGGGAAGAAATGCAGAATATAAACATTCTAAATAAACATATAATAAATTAAGTAATGCAAAAGAAAAAAGAACCAATGTTGGGACACAATCAGGAGAAGGGGTTGATGGGTAAGAATGTAGTTGGA